CCCCCCCCCCCCCCCAAAAAAAAAAAAAAAAGTGCAGTTTTCCACAAGAAATAAAAAATTCCCAATCCATTCTAATTAGCAATGCATTTTCAGGCTACACTCCTAAAGAAATAGGGCTTAGCTGTCAGCACTGTGTGTCCACTTATGCGTCTGATGGTCAGTTCTGCATCCCTTCCCTCCCTGTCTCCTCGACACCTTTATAAGCAGGGAAGGGGCTGTGAGGGCTGGCTGGGAAGAGTAGATATAAAAATCCTCACTTCTGTTTTGATACTTTGCAACCACAGTACAGGTCTACACGGCAGATCAGCAAGTCTCTGATGTTTGAGAGGAACCACTGCCAAAAGATGGTATTTCTTTGCCTTTAAAAAAAAAAAAATAAGTTGAAACAGTTTATTACTAGGTGTTGTATTGCATCTGAAACTTTCAGTTTCGGTACTTACTTACGTGACGTATATACCAAGTGGAGAAGGATCTTACTAAAACCTTCCAGGATGAAAACTTTCACATTAGCCAGTCTAGACATCTTCTAGCAAATACAAAAGTGGGATTAGGTGGTGCTGCTATTCTGACTCAAATGAACAGAAAAACTAATTAAAAGAAAAAGAGCCTCTTGAACAAAACCAGGTAAACATTGGCTAAAAACAAGCTTAGTTTGAGATGGTGAAATGCTACAATATAGCTTCTTGAGGTAAATCCATTAAAATTCCACACACTTTTAATAGCATATTTAAAGCGTTTGTCTTTGTTTGTCTTATGATTATGTAGAAACTTTAAATAAGAACCTAATTTATCTTTCTAAATTAGAGTAGAAACCTGTCTCATTTGCTTCTGCTTGGTACTTAGCTTTATGCATATCTAGCTGCTAAGTCAAGAGCTTACTGAATTTGTAGCGTCTACTTAATCCCTTAGCTCACCTTAGACTCCTCTTCTAAAAATTTTCACTTAAGTGGGATGAAAATCACTGATTTCTGACACTTCACTGCGTAGCTAGGAAAAAGGACCATGGAACATGTGGTACAGCCTCAGGAAGATACTACAGTTAAATTATACACATCTGTCTGCCCAAGAAAAGGTTTTCTATTTCTTTTGGAATGGGCTTTCAAAAGAATATTTCTTTTTTTCCCCAATTCCTGGTAATTCTCCTAGCTTAGTTTCTACATACATATTCCACAGAAGAGGTAAAGGTTAGCAGTATATTAATATTACTTCTGTACGATGCTGTATGTTTTCAATTAGGCTCACTCCCACAACGATTTCCATATCTAGCCACTTGCTCTTCTTATTTCTTGATAAGTGATGGCCCCTATCAGGAAGTCGGGGGCGAGTCTGTTACTGCTTTGAGTAAACAGCCTAAAGGTCATTTTAGATGTTGGCTTTGACACTCTTGGTTCAATAGCCACCCACCATAGCTGTCACCAGTAAGCTGAAGTTAACCTCATGGAAAAATAGCCTTTAAGTGGGTCCTGTTGTCTCAGCAACAGAACAACCCACCAGTGGGCAGTTAATGGTGGAATGAGGAAAATCCTAGCAAATTCCCCTCACTGACACCCGGCAGAGGCATTTGGTCTGAGGTCAGGATTCGAGTGCTGTAGGTTTTCCCTGAGGTCTGCTAAGGTTATGGGAAAGTCCTTGAGTTAATGGGGTCTCTAAGCCCCAGTGTGCCCACATGGGTGCCACAGTTCTGGCCAGGGCTCAAGGACCTTTTTAATGAGATTTCCCATAGCAGAAATGAAAGCAGCAGAAGGTGTCCCAGCTACATGCACACAGCTGACTACCGCAGGCATGCCTATGTACACCAGAACATGAAGGGGTAAAACCCATGGCTAACGTTGGACCCCCACTTTGGGAGTCCACCAGCACAGCTGTTACACACACAACACCCCCAGCCTAGGCTGCTGCAGGTACTGTTTCTTTCCTTCTGCTCCCACAGGATTAATCCATAGGAGGGCACAGCTTTGCCAAAATAGATGCATCCGCTGCTGGAGTGTTGCCAGTACATGCTACCAGTGAGCCTCCATCAGTAAAAGGTCATTACACTACTGACAGGCCTGGCCACCTTCTCCCACACACCTCTTCAGTGTGAAAGCAGGAATAACCCAGCAGACAGGTCTAGAGATACTATCAACCTGCAAAAGGAGAGGAGTTGCATGACTAGTTCTAAGCTCCAGAGCAAAGGCCAAAGTACCCACGGGGCTGACACAGCAAATATGCCTCCCATTGACCCCTCTATGGATTGCAGTGATGCATGTCCTCCCCCTCTACTCTGCCCTAGTGAGACCCCACCTGGAGCACTGTGTCCAGTTCTGGGCTCTCCAGTTCACGAAGGATGAGGAACTCCTGGAGAGAGTCCAGAGGCAGCCAACAAAGATGATGAGGGGACTGGAGCATCTCCCCTATGAGGAAAGGCTGAGAGAGCTGGGCTTGTTTAGCCTGAAGAAGAGAAGACTGAAATACTTACAAATATCTTAAGGGTGGGTGTCATGAGGATGGAGTCAGACTCTTCTCAGTGGTGCTCAGCAACAGGACAAGGGGCAATGGGCACAAACTGAAACATAGGAGAGTCCAGTTGAATATGAGGAAGAGCTTCTTTACTTTGAGGGTGACAGAGCACTGGAACAGGCTGCCCAGGGGGGTTGTGGAGTCTCCTTCTCTGGACATATTCAAAGCCCGCCTAGATGATGTCCTGTGCAACCTGCTTTAGCAGGGGGGTTGGACTAGACGATCTCCCGAGGTGCCTTCCAACCCTTGCCATCCTGTGATATCCCATGAGGGACACCACCACCCAAGGTAGAATCCAAACTTCATTACAAAATGACCTTTCAGGAAACTTCCCATAAACAAAGGCCATTTTCTCTTCAAAATTAGGTACTTCAGGTTCCTAGGCTCTCATTTTAGGCATCTGAAGAGAAGTATTTCAAAGGTGATGGAACAGACGACTCTCACTAAAGTGTCACGTAAAAAGTTCCTGTGGATTCAGGTCCCTAGGATGCTATTTGGATACTGCCTGGTGCTTCTCTCTCCCCTCGCACCAGGGAGCAGACAGCTTAGTGGCATCTTGGCATCTTGGACACTCCTCATCCTCCTCAGCCTGAACCCAGTACCTCGAGTAACTGAGGCACTGCGGGGTCTTGCAGTGTCAAACCGTATGCCCGGCTGGAAGGCATGGTCTGTGTCCGCTTCACAGAAGTGGAAAAGGCACAGCAGAGCCCAACCCTCCCTGTCCAGCTACAGAGAGAGGCCTGAGTCTCTCCTGTTACAACACTGTTGACGGTTAGTAAAAAAGGGATTTACCCAAGTGAGGGGACAGGCTGTGCTGATAAACTCCACTTTTCTGTTAAGAGAGATCACGCTAGTACATGTGCTCTTAAATTTGTACATGAAGTGCACTTGTATCATCTTTGTCTCACCTCTGTGTAGTTAAAAAAAAACCCCAGAACTCTGAAGAACAGCTAGGGAAGACAGCAAAAATACGTATGTTCTTCAAAGATGCTGCCCTCTTTTCAGAGCTGGACACCCAGGCTACTGTGTCCACCAGCCCCTTTGCTGGAAGACACAGACATGACAGCAGCCACCAGAACATCACCTTCTTCTTTTCCAACCACACTTTGGGATCCTACTGTAGCTGTTGTCACCCCTGGCGCTTCCCTCATGTCCAGCATGGGCTGTTCTGCCGCCCCTAGAGATGAAATCTCTGGTTTTTAGAAGTCATTCCTAGCACAATTCGCTCAGAGTAGCATTACCATGCAGGTGCTAATGGAGAAAAACTCCCGAGGACACAGCCCATTGCTCTTTTTCCATCCCTCCACTCCACGGGAAGCAGAGCTCAAGGCTTCAGAGACCTCGGCAAAGGCAGTCAAGCCCAACTTCCACAGAGCCCTGCTATCGTACAGGCACCGTCATCGCTGTTTTCTCCAGACATGGGGCTCCATTTCTCCAGTACATAATTTTCACTTCGCGCTAAACAGACAACAGAGTGCGAAAACTCCCTTTTTTGGGTTTGACATTATCATACGTACAAGAAAACCATCTGCAGTTTTCATCTTCGGCTTTTGCTCCAAGTTGGGATCCTTCAGTTACTTTTCCCCGATACATTTTCCAGCCCAGGCACTAATTCAGTCTACTCCTTCAGTCTACTCCCTGCTCCAGCCGCTCTCCCCCTCTGTAAGCAGCGTCTGCCTTCTAGCGTGGTGCAGGATTTGCTAAACCTGAGCAGCGTGCTTGTAACCCTGGGATGCTGTACCGCAGAGCGGGCTCCTGGAGCCCAGTGCTTACCCCAACGGCGGCACAGCCCCAGCACCGCGGGCTCGGGAAGGGTAGAGTAGCACAGGTGGGACTTTGCTGCAGTCCGATACTGCAACCTGTTGTATCCTTCTAGTTCGAGGAATCTGGGTAGAGAAAACACAAGCTGTATTTAAGCAATAATACCTTCTGGGGATGTCTAGCAACAAGAAGCGTTCCGAGGAAGGAGCTGTGCCTCTGGCCTTTACCCTCACCCGTCAACAACTCCCAAGCTGACAGAGTTAAAATAGCTGACTTAGAAGTCGTAATTGCTATTCTCAGCAGTAAAATACAAAAACGTGTTGGTTGGTTTTTGGTTTTTTCTAATGTACCTTTTAACATGCTGCAAAGTTAAACACAGCCTGCATGTTACCATGGATATAATTTCATGTTTATAAGGCTGGTCTTTTCTGGCAGGTAAATGCCTGCCTGGGAACAAATAGCAGAGCAGGCTGTTGTTTGGCATTTTGCTCCCTCTATGATGACAGCTAACTACTTTTTCTATTAACAAGCTTTTGATTTTACGGGAATTTCTCTAGGAACGGGGTTCATCTCACTGGCATGAAACACGTTCCAGCTGATCCTCCAGTTTGTGAGAGCAGAGCCCTGCGCTCAGTGGCCCTACTCAGGAGAACCAGGGCCACAGCATCAAGTCCCAGCATCTTTACGTATCTGCCATGGCTGGTATCAGACAGTACACAGCACAGGAAAACACGCTTCACCTCTGCCTGATGAAGAGTCCCCTCCAAACCCAGAGCGCAGGGCTTGAGCTAGAACTAACTTTTACTCAGCATAAAACCATGATAAATTCTGAATAAACTCAGGCAACGAAGCTGGGTTTTCATTTGAGGCGAGGGGCAGTTTTATTCCCCACAGTCCCAGGAAAAAATCTCCAAAATGGAATTACTAAGTTGATTCATATCAAGTTGAAATCAGCTGCATTCAAGAAGAAAGGCTAATGGAATAAGAATAAAATCCAGACTGGCAGGAAGGTAACACTGAGTCCAAATGCCTCCTTCACATTCACACTTCATTACTTGTGCCCACAGCTATTTCAAAAACTGTGCGGGTATTCCTAGCCCTACTGAACAACTCCTGTGGCAAAAGTCACCCAGTCTTCGGTGGGACAACGTTTCACCCCTCAGTGCATAAGCCCAGGACTAGCGTTTGGCTGCTGGCTGGTAACGTGTAGTATTGTAACCACTCAGCTGCTCCTGCTAGAAGATCTGAAATAAGATGTAATTGCACCAGCAAGTCTGGGGATTACACACCACACCATGTCCCTCCAAATCATGCAGCCGGAGTGTTTACCTGTGGCTGTCTGTGGCTGTCATGAAAAGTTCAGCACCTATTTCGGTATCAGAGATGCCTATCAGTCAAACTTGACTTCAGCTTTTGAAGTGGGTGGAGAGCAACACCGCCCCTTTCCTGTACCGAAGTCTGCAACAAAACTGCATTTTACTCACAAACATATTGGTAGTTCTGTTGTGTTCTGACTTTAAAAAAAAAATAATAATCTCATTGGACAGACACTACCAGCAAGTTTCTCCACTCTGTGGAGTGTCTTCACAGCCCTCCCACATAGTGAAAATGACTCAGACAAAACTACTAAATTTAGGGCATTGGTATTCTATGTGTTACGCTGGTGTTCATACAAGTAATGCCTTAAACAGTAAATTTCTGAATTAAGCATTCAGGCATCTTTTCTGTGCTGCATCTGCCACTGAAACAGAACGGCGATGAAGGTGGGCTGAGGAGGAGGTTATTTGGATCGTGATTCGGGTTGTGTTTTGGCTAGAGCTAAATGTGAATTTGAATGAGGTTTGCGTGTACTTTTTAGAAATATCTATTGACCCGATATCATGATGTTTGATCTCAAGTGATGAGATCATGCAAGATTAGCTGCCCTTGGGAGATTCCCTTCATCTCAGGCAAGAGACTGCAGGTTTTGACTCACAAATGGGGATGATTTCTCTTGGGATGACTAGACCGATTCCCATTTCTCAGCATCCAACTCACCCATCTCTCTGAGGTTTCCCTCCTGCAAGGATGGCTCATGAAGCAGCTGCTGAACTGATGGTTGCAAATCCACGCAGTCAATTAAATCCATACTTCTGTAATTCAATATAAAAGTACATAGAATTATTGCAATTTTATACTTTGCAAATCACTCCCTGCTTTGCAAGTAACAGCCATCCCTGCAGCAAGGGCAAGGTACTCTGGAAGAAAGCAGTGGTGACCAATTAAAGGCAAGAAGTTTTCTGGCTATTGTTCACAAGCCCGGGCTTTGCAGAGAGATTGGCCATGTGGCCACCACCCAGAAAAAGGGACAGCAAGTCCTTGGCCAAAAGGGGAGCAGAAAAAGCAACGAGAGGGATGGGATGAGAAGGGGAAAGGGAGAAAGAGGAGTGCTCTTTCTCCAAGCATCTGCTTGGCTAAGGCAGTCTTTCCTCTCTGCTTGCCTAAAATCACCAACAAATCAGCATGAGATGGAAGCCAGGCCAGCACCAGGCCAGGAGACCATGCTGCCCTTCAGGCTGACCACACCACCCACGGAAGCCAGCAAGAGTTTTGCATGGGTTTCTCAGGGAAGGACACAGAAGCAATGACTCATCTATCGGTGAACTTTGGCTCTTTATCTGTTTGCCAGATGTCCCCAGAAGGGTGTGGTTTTCTTAAATATTTTTGTTTTTTGAAACTGTTGAATAATCTTTACAAATATAGTTCACAATCTGTTACCCAATTAACACCGTGCGATTGCTAGGAGCGATCTGTTTACATCGCACATTTCCACCGCATGCCCTTTCTTTGTTCCTCATCACTGGAGCATAACTCGTTAATAAAATTAGGTTCATGAAAAAACATTTTCAGATAATCTGCTGTAGCTTCCAGAAATGCTTATGCTGGCCTGATGTGCAGCATTTCAACCTGGGAAGTTGGGCATCCTTGCCTAAAGTTCTGTAGAGCAGACAGAGAGTAAATCTTTTCAGTACAACCCCAGAGCTGTACTTGTATGTACACATGCCCCCGAGGATAATTTCTGTAGTACAATGTTTATCCTTGTCCTGACTCCACCTGAGAGGCAGGGATCTTACAAGTCCCCAAAGTGCCCACTTAACAGAAGCTTAAAAATCCATGCCTAGAGGCAATCTAGAGGGATTATTTAAGTTCTTCCCTTGCTCTAAGGCAGAATAAATAACATAGAACATCTCTGAAAAATATTTGCCAGCCTTGTTCTTGCAAAAATTCAGTCAAGAAGATTCTACTTTCCCCCTAAGTAATCTGTGCCGTGATTTTACTACTTGTGCAATTAGAACATTTTTCCCAATGCTTGAGCCTTGTCTCTTTACCTTATCACTTCATTAGTGATATTTGTGCAACCAGGCAACTTTGACTGGGTCCAGTTACCCACTCTTATCACCCAGATTTTGACTGGTAACCTAGTCACCAGAGAGTATAATGAAGGATGATGTTGAAAGCCAAGATCAAGAGATATATCAAGATCAAAAGAATATCTGTATGATATCTACTGCATACTCTTTTTTCCTTAGCTAGTTGCCTATAAACTGGGAAATTACATTAGTTTATCATTAATCACTCTCGGCAGTTAGATGTTTTAATCATTTCACAATCCAGATCTGTACAGACTGTCTGATAGTCTGTTCCACTATCTGTCCGGGAATCCAAACCTCTTTCTTAAGTGGATTCAGCTTCATTCACATTTCCTTCTTTAGAATACTTAAAGGGGGCTTATGAGAAAGACGGGGACAGACTTTTTAGCAGGGCCTGTAGCAATAGGACAAGGGGCAATGGTCTTAAACTAGAAGAGGGCAGATTCAGACTAGATGTAAGGAAGACATTTTTTATGATGAGGGTGGTGAAACACTGGCACAGGTTGCACGGAGAGGTGGTAGAGGCCCCATCCCTGCAAACATTCAAGGCCAGGTTGGACGGGGCTGTGAGCAACCTGATCTGGTTGAAGATGTCCCTGCTCACTGCAGGTGGGGTTGGAGTAGATGGCCTCTAAAGGTCCCTTCTGTCCCAAACTATTCTGTGTTTCTATGATTCTATGCACAGGCAAGACCTCCTTAGTAAGACTCAGCTAAAATAACTTCGTAATAACTTCTACCTTGTGAAACAGAGTTGCCCAAGATGGTGATACATTGAGGTTTTTTACCTTACTGCCTTTCCAAGCAATATCCAGATAAAGTGTCCATTGCCGCTGAGGCTTGGCTACTAAGTGCTTCCAAGAATCACTCAGAAACTTCTTTCTACTTCTCCCAGGGAAGTGGCTTAATCTACACCCACCTTTCAAAGAGGCTCTGTTCTTTCTCTTTTCTAGCTTCACCCAGACAAGTCTATCCCTCATTTAGTCCACAACTTCAGAACAAGCATGGATAATGCTTCTTCGTTTCTCCAAGCCTGTCCTTCCAGAATGAGCTGTACGAATACTCCAGTCCTGTGACTTATCCCAGCAAATTTCTAACATGACTATTGAGTATTTGATTCTATGCTACAACATCTGGTCCTTTCCATTTTTCCCATGTTTGTACTGACATTACCCTCTTAGCCTTCCAAAGGGGCTACTGTAATATTCGGTCTTTTAAACTTTACAAGGTTTTTCTTCTACGTGTGTCTTAATTTTTACTGACCAAGGTAACTTTTGCACTGGCCTTTTCCAAACTGAGCATAAAGCCCTCTTCTCGCTAGGCTGGTGTATGGTGCAATGTGATGGACTCATATTTCTTCATCACCTAAGCGCCACCTCACCCCAGCAGGCCGGTGCAAGAACATCCGCTCTTACGCAGAAGGAGGGATCTCCTGTCAACAACACCTGAGAAATTCATACCCTTTCCTTCAAAATCTGACATTAGCAAGTGCTAAATATTTTATTTCCACACTTCTGATGAAAAAAAAAAATGAAGTGGTTTGGTGTTCCTGAATTGAAACATTTCATTTCAATGAGTTGAACCAAAGCAAAATATTTTGGTTGACCCTGTTTGACATCAGTTTGCCTCATCCATCCAGAGCGAGGCTCTCTGGCCAAGCTTTTTCCTGTGATCCAGCACTACAGCCACTAAGAAGGGAGACTGCAATGCACCCTTGGTTAGGTAATGCAGAGGTGGGGGTGGCTGTAAGAAATAACCAGGATACAATGCTACCTGTCCCCAAAATACCACGGCAGCTCGGGCAGATGGCTCAGACTTAATATTAAGTAACACTCAGCAATCCAGCTCAACAAACTGTTTTGAAATAGATCAAACTGACTCAAAGCAAAATATTTCAGTTATACCTTCCTCATGAGTCCTTCTTAAATCACAACTTCTCAGAAACTTTGCATAAAAGTCACTTCAACACCAAGTATTTTTTAACATAATATAATTAGCAACTGTAGAAATAGATCAGTCATCATGACTTGCTGCACAGGAAGATCAGAATACTGATTCATACATGTTTCATATACATTGAATTGCTCCAGAGGCTCAGTGCTTTTACATCTTCTCCACACCATGACAATTCAAAAGGAGGTCTTTGCTCTCCAATAACTTGCACATGATGGGAAGTGATGCTAATCATGAGAACAACCAGAAAAGTCTTTTGAGCCAGTTAGATGGCACCAGTCACAATGCCATTAGTCATCCCCTCCTCAATCTGAGGAGAAGGAACCAAAATTATCATTCATCTACTCCTGAAGCTGCAAAAGACACAAGGGAAGTGTACTATTTCCCATTCTTATTGCAATCATCATCACACAAAGTGACACAAGATGCTATTTTCTGCTCCTGTTGTAGGAGAGCAGTGGTTACTTTCTGTGTAGGTTTCAAAAGAGAGACTTTGATCTTATTTAACTGCTTCACTCTCCTTCTCCTGCGCCTGATCAGCACATGACCAGGAAAGGAAACGGGACCAGAAAATGCTGCAGAGTAAGAATCCATACAGCCTGATGCCATCAGCCTCTGCAGCTTCTAAGGGCAAGATGACTGAGATGCGACTGCTGGTTAACAGAGACGGTGGCAGAGGAGGGAGTTGTCAAATATGGTGCCATGACTCTGCACAACAGTGAGAATAACAAAAAAAGCATGAGGATCGATAACTGATGTGTGGAAAAGTGGACACAGAAGGAAAACCTCCCAAAAAGTTGATAGAGAAGCATCAGGAGAGGTTAACTGCAGAGCGTTCAAAGTGGATAACTTGAAGAACAGATCCAGGAATAACACTGGAATGGAGAGACAGACTGCCCTGGAGCAGCCAATCTAAGAAGCCACACATCAAAATCTTTATACTGCTGAGATCGATGAGATATGTACCACTTACCTCAGTGAGCAGAGACATGGAGGAAATCCAGGAGGAACCGACAGGCAGGAGAGGCTGACCAAACCCTGTGTCTCCACAGCAAGATGGTTTGGGCATCTCAGAGATGCTGGTGTAGTGATCTAGCTCGCTTCCACCCACAGCCATGAGACCAAACTACCTAGCAGCCCTGGTGGGTACAGAGACCTTTGTATACGACATTGTCCCAATATGACAGGTGCCCTTGAACTGCTTGACAGCTACATACATCTCCAAGGCATGGGTTGACCAGCTCTGGATATGTCAGCTCTTGAAGTCCCTCCAACATTTTGTTATTGGAAGACAGAGGTAGTGAAAAAGAGGAAGAAAAATCAGAAACATCAACCCTTCTGACAGATGGGAGACCAGGTTAATGGTGAAGTGATGTTCTAGAGAAGCCAAGGAAAGATCTGTGGCTTGGGAAGCCCAGACTCCTCCAACACATCTGGGGAGACTCTGCCAAGGTTTTTATGGCCATTGCTCCTCTGGGCTGACATTTTGGTTCACTGCCCAATTAGAGTTTGCCCTTGAAAGACTTTATGAGATAGATCCTCAGCTAGAGTAAAGAGTGCCACTGCTTTCTAGAAGCATGGTGGGTTTGAGCAGGAGACAATTATGCCCCAGATCTCAGACTGGCAGGGGGGTTTCCTCAAGGGAGCTACACCTGACAGCTTCACAATGAAGGGCAGTGTTATCCATTGTGTGAAACTCCAATTCAACAAAAAAATGTGAAACTGAGTTTAGAAGAAGACACGGTAACAGACGGTACCGAATCCAAGTGGCA